TTGTAAAAGATTTATTTTTAATAAGAGGTAAGCAATGACTATCAATGTAGAAAAGCTTAAAAGCAACAGTAATTACTATTAAATGCTTGGAATTTTGACATAAATATTATCTAACTTTAAAAAGAATATGGTGGTAAAAATAATATATATATCCAGCATAGCTGAATGAATTCTTTCTTTTCTTTCCTAAAGCCCTGTATTAAAGCGTGTTTTATTTATTTGCAGTATAGCTTTTAGACTATTTAGCCAATCAGAGAGGCAGTAAAGGCCTAGGACCAGGCTTGGTGCTGAGCTCCAAATGCGATTCCAGTCCTGACAGGGGGATTATAGGAAACAGATGACTTACGCTTCTAATTTGTGGCCTTAAATTGCAAACAGAATTTCAGGAGTCGAGCAGAGTAATAAATGGCAATAGAGAAAGCCACACACAGCCAAATCAGTATGTGGTGGTTGTAGGTTAAACTAAATAGGAAGAGACAGGTTATGATGGTTTAGTGTATTACAGAGAAGAAAGTCTTAAATTACTAGTGCTGAGAGGTATTGCACTATGGCAGACAGTACTGCATTGTGTAGTCTACAGATATCACAAGCAGAACAATAAAAAAGCAGGTTTAGCATGAAACCTGTTGCTGGACAAATCTTTTTCTCCACAGAAATGGAAGCTGTGTTTTATGTTTGTGTTGACCTTAACTATATGCTTGCTCCTTAACATCTGTTTTCTACTCTTGCCGTTTTTCAAACCAAATTAACTGTCAGGGATTCAGATAAAATTAATTTAAAATACTTCTAAATTATTTTTGTTTACTTTCAGGTCAAAAAAAGTGCTTTAATACTCTTTCTGTGATGCATTGTAATCTTTTGATCTCAAAGGTATAAAATATAGTCAAACATATTCAAAATATTAAAAATCTACAATGAGAATTTATACAAATAAGACTTATAGCAGCTTTCAGACATATGGCTTTTTGAATAATTAGTGTTATTATATTGGAGTCCATTTTGGGTTAGGTTGTTAAGCTTTCACTCTGGATCAGCTGACTAGTTTTACTATCATTTGGAGCTTCTTGATTAGGAAAGCTTGGGTGTACTTATTTAATACAAATTTGTATCAAAAGTTTGTTCCATAATATTTATTAGTTCCTGCTTTTGATGAGCCTTAAATTAGAAAGATACATGATGGGAATCTTCAGAAGTGTAAAGACTGACATGCAGAAGCTCACGTTGCATTTGATTTTCTTATATTGGTATAATTGAAATGCAAGAGAGATGGAGAGACACAGAGAAAGCTGAGTTTTCAGCGTGTGGAGCAGCTGGTGCCACAAAAGCATTGTACTGTACAAAAAATGATACATCAACACTTAGTGTTTCTTAAGCTTCTTAATTTAGAGGGGCATTTAAAAAAATACAGCTCTTTTATTTAGGAGTATGGGAGTTACAGAGTCTGTGCAAGTGCTTTGAAAAATCCATATCAAATAGTAAGTATCATGGTAGGGATTTCTACTAAGAGATAATACTGCTTTAAAATGATAATTGATAAGGCTTAGAAATAATGCTAACTCAAGATTAAAAAAAGTTGGCAGAACAAACCTTTGACCCATTGCAGTACCTTAGCTTGCCATACTGCCTCTGACATAGCAGTATATACCCCATGCTAGTATCCTCTTGATCAGATAATCCATCATGCTAAAACCTTTAGTCTTTTGAACCATTGTGCTGGTGTATAACTTAGACATTTTATTTCAGGCATCAAAGCCTGCTTGTGTTTGAACAAACAAAACTGTTGTTACTGTAAAACAGTTATTGTTTTAAACAGGCCTGTTGATAATCATTGAATATGACTCGCTAAATACATTCTGATTAATCACTTGCAAAAATTATGCTTGTTGGAACTGCTTTATATTCTGTGACACTGTGATCTCAGTGTAGGTTATAGCTGTTTCTTTATAGCTGATATGATTTTTTTTTCTTTAAGTCACCTGGTGAGAAAGGAAAACAAATCTTAGTTGAAAGCTTTTGTCTGCAACACAGTATCCTCTTTTCATCCCTAGGTTCTTTTTTAAAAAAATGTTCAATTATTGTTTGTGCCATAGAGAGAAGAATGGGGGCTATACAGGACCTGAACCTTTTTACACTGGAGATGGCTTTTGTTTTTGCACCCCATCAACACTGATCACCTAATTAAATTTGATATCTTTGGCTGAAGCAAAATGATTTGTTAATAGTTCTTTGGGAATTTACTTAATGAGTTTAGATGTCTTTTGTATGGTACATGTGGGGGTATTTTGCAAAATGGAGTTGAAAAGAAAAATGGGGGCAAAGGCTGAAGAAAAAGAGCACTGAGACAGCAAGGTGTAGTTTGAACAGGAATGTTGGTGGACTGCAATCATTCATTAGTCAATAACAGAAAACAGATCTGAACTGTAAAAACCCTTCCTGTCAAATACTGCCATGGACATCTGTCAGGGATTCAGATATTACACCTTGATCAGACCAAGACTGTGACACCATTTTCTTTAACAAACACCAGCAGCCTTTCTTTCTCCTTCATTTTAACATTTCTCAGGGGCTGGATTCCCTTTCTTCTCCTGCTCTGTAGAGAGTAAAAGGAGCTTGTTAACTTGCTTAGATATTTTGACTGCTGATGCACTTTGGCCACTTGCCTGTGGTAACAGTGTCAAAGCATTACTTGGTATAATTGCTGTATTTGCAGTCTGAAGAGTGCTCCGACTTAGTGTTCAAGCTGCCAAATAAAAAAGAAATTGTCATTTTTGAAAAATCTGTGAATTATCCTCAAAGTTAAAAAAATGCACAGTGTTTAAAATGCCTTCTTTTTTCTTATATTCAAGAACAAAAATTCAAATAGATAATATTTTGATAATGTTTTGAAAATAGAAAATGTCACTTTAAAGGTATGGGTTTAGTACTTTTTGAAGCAGGGAGGATTAAGTAATATGAGTGGGTGGCTCTATTTTTCAAATTCTTCTATATCCAAAGCTACTCATTAGTCCATAAAAAGACCTAGAGTCCTGGCCTTTCAAGGAATGCAGGATTAGGGCCGGAAAGTGTGCAAAGTGACTAACTAAGCTATCTTTTAAATTTCAAACAAGTGCCATAAAATATTTGAGCTCTTGTAATTAAGAAGTAACCAGAAAGTATTAAAAATATTAGTTACACTGACAATTGTGTCACAAGTCATATAGAGTATGGATTGCATGTGACAATTTTTTGATGGTCCTTCATTTAGCAAAGATGTGAATAATTTATAGATGCTCTTATGACATCCATTTTCCAAGTGGAAATTGAGACTATAATGGAGTTTAATTTTATTAATATGCAATAATAAATGGCATTCTAAAGCCATATTTGTTATAAACTATACCTCTGTGATATGGTTGCAATCTCTATTTGCTATGTGATTCTTTTTTTCCCGTTTTTCTACATGAAGCAAGACAAGGTGCAGATTGTAAGCAGGATCTGATCTAGAAAAATAGCCCATGTTTTATGTTCTGTTTATGATCTGGTGAGGCAAGCTACTGAATGCCCTCTAATTTCCATTGGTCAACACACTGTGGAAGGATCAGGTCTTAAGGCACCAAATAGGTGGAGTCAGGAGAAGTTTGGCTTATGGATTCTAGACTTGACTATTATTCTCAGGGTTCATCCTGATGTGGATGCAAGGAAAGGGGTAACTGGCACAGTACGCAAATGTTGCTTTCTTGGGGACCTGTGAAGAAAGCAACAGAGCTAAGCCTGATTTTCTCTATATATCTATGTAGTATTTCAAAGCCTGTTTTTCTGACGTATGAGGTCCAAACCTATGCAGAGTGTATTGTATTTTATTTTCAAACCCATCAAAAGGTCTGTTCAAGACTCTAGGCAGTTCTTAGCTGGAGATATATTGGCATTAGTTGGGGATCTGGTCAAAGAGGAGAAACCGTCCACTGAAAGAGCTCCCTGACTCACCAAAAGAAACGTCAAAATCCTCTCCAGATCCCTGACTACCCAAAACTGGGGAAAACAGATAAACCTTACAACATGCCTCAGTGATACTGTCCAAGGGCCTATATAGGATACCAGTTCTATTGTGATAGAAATGTAGCCATGTTAGTCTGGGGTAGTTGAAGCAAAATGCAGGACAATGTAGCACTTTAAAGACTAACAAGATGGTTTATTAGATGATGAGCTTTCGTGGGCCAGACCCACTTCCTCAGATCAAATAGTGGAAGAAAGTAGTCACAACCATATATACCAAAGGATACAATTAAAAAAATCAACAAATATGAAAAGGACAAATCACATTGCAGAACAGGAGGGGGATTCTATTGTGTTTGGCTTCACTCCTTGTTGTGGTAGTGGAGCAGAGAACAAGTTGATTTCACTGGAATTGCATGGGGGTATAAGCCAGGGCAGAATTTAGTCCGTGGAAGTCTTGTTAAGGCAGTACCTAGTAAAATGATGTATCCTGCATTTTACAGTTGCTTGTAGGCTTCAGTGCTTTCTCTTTCTAATTCAAAGTGAAGCATACTTTGTTTTACCGCCTCCAGATACCTTGTGTGGATGGCTGATGCAGTATGATGTGCATTTTACCTGGCATTTGGGAGTGTTTGTTTAACACAGGATGTGATTACAGCTCTTAGAGTGCCTGATTCTACAAGACAATGAGCCCTTTCCAAAGGTGGTGAGCGTGCTCTGCTTTCAGAGAAACCAACAAGAGCAAAGGGTACTTAACACCTTGCAGAAGTATGCCATTCTTTATAACCTAACATACATGCTAGATTTATGTCTACTATATTATTGAGGGCCAGATCTTCCTCTTTATCTTACTCATGTAAATCTGCAAGAGCTCCTTTGAGGCCAATTGAGTTATTGGAAATTTACATGATTGTATTTGGGATCAGAATCTGTCCTTTCATGTGTCATGCATTGCCCATTTGATAGTCACTAATACAGAATTGCCTTTATGTTTTTGGAAGACTTGATTGGGTTTTTTTTTCTTCCAGTTGGCAGATCTTTCTTTTTTTAAAAGCTGCTTTTGAAGGAAAAAATATGGATTTCCAGAAGTAAGGGACTATGAAAGACAGCTCCTTTTCACAAGCTGGATTCACCTCTCGTCATATTATACAGAATTGTAACATGTAAGCTATTGTTTTGAAGCTTTACTATGTGATTGTCCTTTCTCATCTGAATAGGATGCGCATATCTCTGGTGGATGTAGGTTAGCTAAGTAAATCATGCATAGATGGAATTTATTAAGTTTGCATGGTAGTGACAGCTGTGAGTGGGAACAGTAACTCTGAATGTGCCAAAGGCTGGGAGAGGAGGAATTTTTGTATGTTTCTTAAAGGAAAATGCTTCAGTGTAATTATGAAAGCTATTCAAATCCCTACGTTTAATTACAAAGGGGACAAAGTCACTAAAATTATTTTTAAAGAATAATAATCTGACCAGAAGCTGTTGTTTGGACGATCTCTGGGACAGATTAGGGCAGAGAAGAGTCAGGTTCCATTAAGACCCACTGAAAATTTGGCTGTTTAAAGATAAATCCATTTAAATAGAGACATATTTATATACATCAATATAATGTAACAATTGGTTAAATTATCTGTTAAACTGACTAAAATATTATTTTTACACAAAATTTACTTCAAAATAACTTGGAAACAAGTCTGATTTTCAGCAGCTAATGGTAACATGGATCCCATTCTGTTTCTTGACATGTGCCCCCTCTTTGATGCATCACTTAAACTGTCATGGAGAGAGAGAGAGAGAGAGAGAGAGAGAGAGAGAGAGAAATTCCAGTCACTGGATCAGTCCTGCTCTAGCCTTCTGAACACAAGTGACATTCAATTCAGTGGGACTCCTCATGTGAGTAAATCGTTCTTGTTGGTAAGGATTTGCAGGATTGGGCCCACAAAGGAATTGAGACCCAGAAGTAGTGAGAGACAGCTAATGCTAAATACAGATTTTAAAAAATCATCTTTAAATACATGGCCCTAATCCTGTTAACCCTTTGAAACCTTTTTAAGCCCCATAACCCAGCAGACCCGTGTTTGGGAAAGGTCAGGCCTGCTGTCTGTTCCAGAGTGGTGGGTAGTGTACAGTGAGCTACCTCCATTAAACCCCTTTAATTTTGCTTTGTACACTGTCACACTGAAGTTACAGTAGATTGAGGGCTAAAATAATCTCTACGGAGCTGTTGCAGAAGAAGAGATAACAAGAGGTGTCTTAGGGCTTGTCTCCATTTACCAGGAGATTGATGTGAAGAGATCAATCTCCTGGGGTTTGATTTAGTGGGTCTAGTAAAGACCCACTAAATCAATTGCTGATGGCATCCCATTGACTCTAGTACTCCACTGGATTGAGAGGAGTAATGGAACTTGATGGGAGAATTTCTCCTGTCAACTTCCCGTGGTGGGAATGCAGGAGAATTCCAACCTAAGTTATGAAGGCCACTTGATCAACCCTACCCCTTCACCACTGCCAAATACTGTCACCACAGAACATATAGATGGGGAGGAATGAGCTGTTCCATCTGTGTACTGGTTTGACCTACACTAGGCCTGATTTGATTTGGCAGTAGTAGCTTTATGTTGGATTTACTTCTGACTTTCACTGTGGTAAAATCAGAGGAGTATCAAGGACTAAGGTTTGTGTCTCTTTGTGTTTGATTAGACTCTTTGGCTGAGAGATCTGCTGACTTGTACAGATCCAGGATCCCTCAAGCTGGGTAGATAAGACAAAGTTTTGGTCCATCTGTGCCTTTCTTTTATTTAGTGACTGGACTTGATGTCCTCTCGAGGTCCCTTCCAGTTCTAATGTTCTATGACTTGTCTCCATATATCAGTCCTTTATTTTTCTAGTCCTTCCAGAGATGCTAAGCACAGCTACAGAGAAGGAAAGACACAGGTAGCTTTGAGCTATCTAGTTTCTTTAGTTCTGGAGTTGTTGGGCACTGATACCATCTCCTATATAAAACAGAGCAACTTAGTGATATGGTGGCTGTCAGCAGACCACAAAGGCAACTCAGCAGCCTGGAATCAGAGAGTGGCAGGGATATGTAAGCATGGCATACGGGGATAGGTTGTCAAAGGACCTGTGGGATCCCTCTATTGGTCTATTAAATTGTGTTGTGTACTTATTGCACTTCTAGAATGGTGCAAAATAACCTAAACTGAATGGAGCATCCAGCCCATTGTGTTAAGTAAATATGTGTCCACCAATGTAAGGAATTATCTTAATCACTGACATTTTCTTTTGCTGTAAATTTAAGGTTGAATGAGAAAACACAATACACTCATGAACACAGTTTTAATAGGGCTGTTTATTTTCCATTGTATAATAATTTTTGAAAAGCAACCCTCTTTTTATAACTGTTAACAGCATCCCATTTTAGAGACATTCTGAAAAAAATTAAATTAATTCTAATTTTGCAGGGCTCTTTAGGTGGCATCTTTTAATTTTCACCTTTTCTGGGACTTTTGTTGCAACCTAAGATTTAACTTTTAAATCCATGTTTTTAATGAAGCACTGCTTTCTCTGTTTTTTGTTGTTAGACCACATGGGATATGTTCTCTTGATGTGTGGGGAGTTATGATTAGATGAGAATATACCTCTGAGAAAGCTTATATTATCACACATAAAACATCAGAAATTGCAAAAATGATGTTCATAACTGTGAAAAAACAATGGATCTTATCTGAGATTTTCCTAGTCACACCGTAGCATCAGTACAGTATTTAAGGCTGTCTCAGAGTTTGCTAGGATTTATAATGTATTAAAACTATACATAAAGGGCATCTGAAAAAAATGTTCCCAAATCAAAACTGAATTTTGTTCCAAACACATTCATTACTCTTTTGTGTTTATGTTATATATTTCATGGTAAAAATCACAATTAGCAGTTGGCACTGTATTGGCTCTTTTGATAAATTATGTGGGATTTTTGTCCTCTGTTTAGATGACTTTGGATCTAAGCAACACAGACCAAACAGCAAATATTATAACTAAATATACAATTTGAAGTTCATGCTGTGTTGATTAATTAAGTTGGTTACATAACTTACCTGTTCCTGGTAGTAACTGGCACAAGTTTTAGTGCAAGTTGTCTATTTTATATTCACTTGTTAATTGTTCAGAATCTGAGGCTCACAAAATGTTTTCAGATTAAATATGTGAATCACATAGAATAGCAAATAAATCTCTGAATATTATGACCTGTTAAGGTAAAATGATTTATTGTTAATTATTCTCTCACTTCACATTTTGATGCAAATCATTGAGGGCTTGATCCTTCACCATAAAAATTACTGGAAGCTTTTCCATTGACTTGGAGCAGGCTCAGCTCCCCAAAATAAGCATATATCCTTCCAGAAATACCCATGCTTCCTTAATGCTATGTAATGGGCTAATGAATTTATGTATGCCATTGTATCTAAATAATGGAGGAAAAATGGTCCAATAAATGTCACCTTTGACTATTGGTTTCTGGTATGTACTGGTTTCAGCAAAATTATTAAAATAGATTTTGGTAGGAAAACATTACTCAAATTCAATTTTAAAGATCTATTATGTTTTGAAATCTAATTTCTCTTCTTTTAAGTCATTGTCAGAACAAAGGAAGTCTAACTTTTACAGTGTTTCAGAAAATGCGCACAATTTAAAACAAACTTAATTCCACACAATGTGTTTTAGTGAATGTACACTGAAATCCATTAAAAGACTCATTACAAAATAAAGGAATATTGTAGACAATTCAAAAAGCAGAGAGTTTTCTTTAATGAGTCTATTGTTTTACTATATCTATTTATTAATGTTGTTATGGAAGAACTTACTATACTGCCCTTGAAATGCATAGTGACATAAACTCTACACATGTGCTATAAGAATGGTTCCTCTGATCATCTTGTGGTCTTACTAATCGTCAGATGTTCCTCATCTTTGTGTCTGGTTTTTTTTCCAGACAAGATTGCTGAAACTGCAACTTGTTCTGAGCAGGCCCTTGAATCTACACAAAATACTCTACTGATTCCAAGCCCACAGGTCTACCCATGCTAAATAAATTCCAGGATTGAGTCCTAAAGTCTGTTTAATAATGAAAGCCTCCAGTGCCTACATCTGAGTCTTCTTCCAGAGCATTTAAAAAGAAATATAGAATTATGTGTTTGTGCATAGAGAAGTAACCAAAATATATGAATAATATCTCAGAATATGACTTTAAAAATGCTCACATTCTACCTAGGTGGTCAACTGCAAGGAAGATTTTCTTCAAAGTCGGTCGATAGCAGATGCAAATCATTTAAAAATGAGAATGTCCCATTAATACTATGTACCAAAGCAGGAAGAAATGGAAAAACCCAGTTCGTGCTTTCTCCAAGTTAAATTGCTTATCCATGTTTTACCAGCCTTTATCAGAGTTTGTATACTTGCTCCAATTAAATTATTTTTCTTCAGGGAAGCTTGTGAGGCTCTTACAGAAATTCTGTTAATTTCTGAGTAATGCAGTTCTGACAATCACTTAAGACAAGATAGTTGATACTGCTGTCAGGAAAGACTCTTTTTCAAAAGAATGTTTTTATAGAATATCATTGTGACACTTTGCTCAGATGGATGTCTTTAGTAGAATTTGATTAATGTAATGTAATAAAAGAGATGCACACTAAAGTGTCTGTACATGTCTTGTTAAGTATGTTTGATTCATTATATGTAGTTCTCCTCACTTCTTTTCTCTTTTCTCAGTTCATTTTTTATCATTTCAATAATATATCTATAAATATGAAAAAGTTGGCACTTTCAAAGTCTTTGACATATATGGCTATTAATTCATAACTCTAAAAAATTGTATCTTTCAACTTGTCATTTTAAAGCTTGTACAGTTTATTACAGTAAGTAACCTGTGTTGGAAATTAGATTTTGAACTTTAGCAAGGAGATAAATAAGCTTGTGGTAACAGAAGTTATGGAGAAGATACCTAGATGTAGTGATAAAATAAAATCACATGAAAAGATCACTTACTTGAAGATGATAATTTCAAAGTTCCCTGAGGATCACATGAAGATCACATATTGGAAATAGGCTGCAAGTTTAATTCCAATAATTTTAATTCCCAAAAGTTTTATAATACTTAGGGGTTTTTTTTGGTGAGTTGTGTTTGCCTCATTCTCCAGGTATCTTACAGATATTAAAAGCACAGTTTTTATCTGATTACATCAAATTCCTTAGAAAGACTTCTTAAAAACCTTAACAGCTCACATGATATCTCCACCCTTTCTCAATCAATTTCCTACAGCATAGGGAAAACCTGGGAAATCATGATATCCTCATGACTCTATTTATGACAACATTTTAGAGTAACTAGGTTACTGACTTCCCTGTTAGCCAACTGAGTCATGAGGATATAATGATAGTCCTTAACATACTTGGTTCCTGACTCAAAATTATTTTTTTATATTAAAATAACCACTATGAT